CGCAAGTTTGACTCAATTTGGGTAATCGTGGATCGACTCACGAAATCAGCGCACTTCTTACCAGTTAAATCCACCGACACTGCGGAACAGTATGCTCAATTGTATATTAAAAAAATAGTAAGGCTTCATGGCACTCCCATTTCCATCATTTCTGATCGGGGGCACAGTTCACAGCTATGTTCTAGAAGAAATTTCAGCAAGGTTTGGGTACGCAGGTTAGCTTTCTATCCACAAACTGATGGGCAAGCAGTACGGACTATTCAGACACTAGAGGACATGTTGCGTGCTTGTGTGCTTGACCTCAAGGGTAGCTGGGATGACCATTTGCCGCTTATAGAATTTTCTTACAACAACAGCTTACATGCCAGTATTCAGATGGCGTCGTTTGAGGCATTGTATGGTAGAAGATGTAGGTCGCCGATTGGGTGGCTCGAGGTTGGAGAAGCTGAGCTGATAGGACCATACCATGTGCATCAAGCTATGAAGAAGGTTAAAATTATAAAGGAGTTGTTGAAAACTGCTCAGAGTCGACAGAAATCCTATTCGGATGTTCATCGCAGAGACTTAGAGTTCAAGGAAGATGATTGGGTATTCTTGAAGGTATCCCCCATGAAAGGTATCATACGGTTTGGGGAGAAAGGAAAATTGAGCCCGAGGTATGTCAGACCATATAGAATCATTCAAAGGATAGGTCAGGTAGCGTACAAGCTCGAGCTACCACCTGAAATGTCGCAAGTGCACCCGGTATTCCATGTGTCCATGTTGAAAAAGGTAGTTGGAGACCCGTCCGCTATTGTGTCGGTTGAGACCCTTGAGGTTAGTGAAGAATTGTCATATGAAGAGGTCCAGTTGCTATTCTTGATAGACAGGTCCGAAAGTTGATATACAAAGAGATTGCATCTGTAAAGGTATTATGGTGATATCAGCAAGTCGAAGAAGCTACTTGGGAAGCTGAGAATGAAATGAAAGAGAAGTACCCCTATCTGTTTGAATAACCATGTAATAGTTCTATGAAGTTGTTTCCCCTTCATTTTTGTGTTACTTGTTTAATTAATATAAAGACATTCCTTTTCAATTATATGTCCTTCATGAGGCCTCAGTTGGTGTTGTTATGTGTTTTGTCATGTTATTTGATCAAATATATGTTGTTAAGGTGTGTTTCGGTGGCTCTCTGGCAGGTGGATAGGACTAGATACAAAGGAAACTCTAGCAAAATTTTCAGAAATCTAGAGAGTTAGTCAAATTTGGGGGTTGTTGGTGCGTGGTGTGGAGCTGAAGTTGCATAAGGTGTTGATAAGTGAACTTTGTTCCTCATTCGAGGACGAATGATCTTAAGCGGGGGAGGATGTAAGTCCCCGTGAAATTTTTACCCAAAAACCCAAAATCTTGTAGTGCCAAGTTAAGAATACGTTAAGGAAAAATGTTTTTCAGAGGACTGCATTTCTGCGGCCCATTATGTGGCCGTATAATAACAATACGGGCCATATATCTTCTGCGTAGTAATTCAGTATGTTAACCAATTTGAGGACAACTATGTGTCCAATTATGCGATCGCATAAACGATATGCGGGTCGCATAGTCGTCACATAACCTCCTTGGGATTTTTGCATAGGGCAGTTCTGCAGTGCATTATGCGACCGCGGAACAGGTATGCAGACCACATATTGGTCTCATACCAGAGCAGAGTATTCCAGTTTTGAGGTCCACTTTTGCGTTCCCTTTTGCAGGTCGCATATCAGTTACGCGGTCGCATATGCGACTGCAGATTGAGTCGGGGCTCCTATTTTCTAACTTTTAAAACCCGACCCCATTCCGTTAAAAATACCCCATTAGACCCTCTTGAGCTAATTTCTACTACATTTAGAGTGAGAGAAAGAGTTCTAGAGGGAGAAAGTGATCCTCACCAAGCCTCTACTCAATCCTTGCCCAAATCCTTGAAGATTATCAAGTAAAAGTACTAGGCTTTCATCCTAAGAGGTAAGAACTTGTGCTCTAACCTTTGATTTCGAAATTCCTACTAAAATAAGTAATTAACAAATAGGTTCATGGGTATAAGGGTTGATGATCTTGCATGCATGTATGATAAAAGGGTATGGGGAGATTGTAAACTAAGAATGTAACAAATGGGGTGTAGGGTGATAGGATTTTTCACAAAAAGACCTTAAAATTTATAATGCCCACTTGTTTGATAATGTGCTCAAGTGAGCTAGAATCTCGATTATCTCTCTAATTGTTGGTCCAACTTGTAATTCTCATAAAATAGATTGAAGTGGCTAAGAGTTTCGGAATTTATGTAAGAATTTAAGAGAAAGCTCTATTAAGGTATGTATGGCTAACCCTGTTCTTCTTAGTGTTGAATTCTTAGTCCTCAAATAGTTGGCGTGAGTTTCGAATTGATCATGCTAGATGGATTGCATTAATGTGTTGGGTTGACAAATTTTTGTTCCAAATTGTTCTATGTGTTTACCCTGAAACCATGCTAGTTGAAAAATGTGATTATGTTCTTCAAGTGTTCTTTCTTTCCTCATGTGCGCATGCCTTATATGATAGCCTTTATCGACATGGATGATGAAGCTATATAAACGAATAAATAAGGGGAAGACTTGATTATAAAAATGTATCCAAGTGCCATGAATTAATTAATAAAAGAGGTGTGTTGTGCCATGTAATGGAAAAATGGAAAGAAATGTGAACTAAGGAAGAATTGAAAGAGGTTATGTCCCAAGTGAGATAGCTTAGCCGATCGGGCCGAAATCGGACGCTATGCTATACACATGGTGGCATTTACATTGGATTTCTGATTATCATTGTGGATTTGGATATGTCTCACTTGGGATGGCTTAGCCGGTCGGACCGAGACCGGACTATGTGTAAAATCATAGTGGTATTATCAGTTATGGCACTTGGCACTAAAGAACATTAACCTAAAGGAATGGAAAGACTTAACCAGAACTATGTGAACCTTATTTGGTGTTTTTCCTTGTAATACTATGAAGTACTTGTTGATGTTATAACTGCCTTCTATTTGATCACTGTTCATCCTATTAAGAATTGTGTTTGCCTTACATACTAGTACTATTCGATAGTACTAACGTCCCTTTTGCCAGGGGTGTTACATCTTTGAATGGATGTAGGTGGTTCCGTCGTTGATAGCGCCGATCGCAGATAGTGGTGCTCTCTTTCTCTCTCCACTACAATCTTGGTGAGCCCCCATTTCTCCTAGGGGTTTTGTAGTTCTTCTCTTATACAAATTTTCATATTTTGAGGTATAGTCGGGGCCTTGTTGCCGGCATTGTCATTTGGTGTTTTGTATCCTTAGAGGCTCCGTAGACATTTTTGTGGGTTATGTATGGGTATCGGGGTGGTCATAGGATCACGGTGTATTTTAAAACTGATTTTTTCTACTCCGGTTTCGTTCTAGCGAAGCTAACCTCGCTTCGTTGTCCCAGATTTCTGTCTTTAGCTTTTCTTTCGCCAATTTTTCTCCTATTTGATACTTTTTCGTGCAAGTTCGTTTTTACACATAAGAAACACGTAATGAGCATATTTCTACTTCAAAAGTAGTGTGAACTCCCACAACTCACACAAGAATTAATAGACAAACACACTCAAAATATGTACTTTTCACCCTTTATTACCAATTACAAAATATATTCGAATGTATATGTACATACATGATGAGCAACCGCATATAATACATAACAAATAGACCCACAAAATTTTACGATGTGTATATGACTGAAAAATTATAAAAGATTTAAATCGATTCCAAAACCATTATGACAAGAAGAGAAGTGGGTGCAATGGTACCTAAAAATATCCATAAATAATTTGTATAGTTTAGTACCTTTGGCATTCATATTAACAGTAATTTCTGAAAATAATGGATCAAGAAAAAGAATAAGTGATTTAAATAAAAGAATTTGGGAGATTTTGGGTTACCTAACGGACTGAGGGAAAATTTTAAAAGTTTACTGATGGTAGAGGTAAATTTGACCAAATGTTATAATAGAGGTTAAGTGTGAATAATATCCAAAAGTAATGGGGTAAATTTGGACTTTTTCCTTTAGAACATAGATGAGTATTCACATCCCCATGCAACAAAAATAAGGAAAAAGATTAGACGGTAATCAAAGAGTTAATACTCTTAAACCTGCCTAAACTATACAACCTTTGTCAGTTGCCTACCTAAACTATCACATGTCCCGGAAAACCCCCTGAACTCTATTCTCCTTCATAATAAAACCCCCTCGCTGTATTCTTACTAGTGCGTGTAATACGCTCTCCGAATTATTTTTAAAATCTGCCACGTGGCAATTTACGTGAATACTTATCTTAATCTCAAAAACATACTTAATTAAGATTTTAATACTCTTTATTATATCATTGTAAAAAATTACATGGTAAAAATAAAAAGAGGGCTAGGATTAAAACTAGTAGGTAAATGTAAAAAACTCATTTTCTCTGTGCTCTTATCGGAGAATGGCTACACTAATCTCTCAGTAGCGATTTTCTCCATTAATCTTGGTTCTAACCTCGATTGCATTGTCTATTCTTTATACCCAAATTTCTTGAAAGGCATTAAACGTCATGCTCTGCAAATACTTGAAAGAGTATTCCTTTTTTCAAATAAATTTAGGTAAGAAATGACGGATGGATAAAACGAGAAAGATAAGTAATAAAATCAGAAATAACAAGAGAGAGAATTTCATATGGATTCAAATGAAGAAATGGAGAAGAAAGGTGAAAAAATGGAGAAGAAAGGTAAAAAAAAAATAAGGAAGAAAGGTGAAATATAAAGAAAAGGAGGCGGAAATAAAAGGAAATGTGAATTTTAAAAAAGAATGGCTAATTAGCTGTTAGAGACATTATTTTAATGGCTTTTTTTAGTCTTCACATACTATCGGGCGATTTATTACACACATAGTGCCATATAAGCTTTCACACGCTCTTGAGTTTTGTTCAGGAATTTTTGGGAACGATAGGCACTTGACAAAAGTTGTATAATTTAGGCGGATCGTGGATATTAAATCTTAATCAAACTATTAAAAGCAAGAATAAGAATGAAGAAAAAACAGAAAAAGAAAAAGAAGGACATGTCAAATTTCTGTTATCTCAATTCTCCTCAATTTCTCATAGCTCTGCCCGAATGTGCATACACTTTAGTTAATCATCTTCCCGCGCCTTCTCTAAACCAAATTGGAACTATGAAACGGTAAATTAGTATTTTCAATCATACCTCAAAATCTTTAATATATTTTTCTATATTCCCCTTTGATTTTTAATCTCAATATTAATGATAATCTTCTCAGCAAGCAAAATCTTGAAATTTTCAACCAAATCTCAACGTCTTTACACTTCTTCAACTCCTAATTTCATTGACTTACTTCAACTTTCAATTGAATCTCAATCTCTCAAATATACGAAACAACTACACTCCCAAATCATTCACCTTGGACTTGACCAAGACTCCATTATAGCAACTAACCTCATCTCCTCATACATTGCATGCCAAAACCCAGTTGATTCTCAGCTTGTTTTTGACACTTTTAAACATAAAAGTTTATATCTTTGGAATATTTTGATTAATGGGTATGCTAAAAATAAGTTCTTTGGACAAAGTATTAAGCTTTTTAATCAAATGTGTAGAAGTGAAGTCACTCCTGATGAGTTTACCATTTCGGGTATTGTGAAAATTTTGGGTGAATTAAGGGATATTGTTTCTGGAAAAATTGTTCATGGGAAGTGTGTGAGAAATGGGGTTGTTTTAGATACTGTTGTTGCTAATTCGTTCATGTCTTTGTATAGCAAATGTGGGGTGTTTCAAGATTCGTTGAAGGTGTTTGATGAAATGCCGCAGAGGAATATCTCGTCGTTTAATGTTGTAATTTCAGGATATACGGGTGAAAAAGAGAGAGTTTTGGATGATAAGTTATGGGATTTTGTGAAGGATATGCAGATTGAAGGTTGGAAATTTGATGCATTTACGGTTTCAACACTTCTTTCTTTGTGTGGAGAGGTGAAGAAGTACTGGCACTATGGAAAAGAGCTGCATTGTTATATTGTGAAGACTGGTTTAGAGTCGGATTTCGTTGTTTGTTCTGATGTTCACTTAGGATGTTGTTTGATTGATATGTATTCGAAAAGTTTCAAGGTTGAATTGGCGAGGCGGGTTTTTGATAGGTTGAAGCATAAAAATGTTTTTGCTTGGACGGCAATGATCAATGGCTATGTGCTGAATGGGAATTTTGATGAAGCTTTAGTACTGTTTAAAGACATGCAAGTGGAAGGAGTAGAACCCAATAAGGTTTCGCTTATCAGTATCCTACCTGCTTGTTGTTCATTTGATCGTTTGAAAGGTGGAAAACAGATTCATGCATTTTCAACTAGGAGAGGATTGAATCATGAAGTGTCTTTCTGTAATGCTTTAATCGACATGTACTCTAAGTCGGGATCTGTGAGATGTGCACGACGAGTCTTTGAATTTCATTGTGTTACTAAGGATGCAATATCGTGGAGTTCAATGATTTCTGCTTACTCCTTACATGGGAATGGTCGGGGTGCCATCATTTTGTATGAGGAAGTGATTCAAAATGGGATCAAACCAGATATGATTACGGTTGTTGGAGTTCTCTCTGCTTGTGCTAGATCAGGGTTGGTCGATGAGGGCATCCGGATATATGATTCTGCTGTAAATGATTATGATTTAGAACCAACTTTGGAGATGTGTGCATGTATCGTGGATATGTTGGGTAAAGCAGGCCAGTTCAATAGAGCATTGGATTTCATCAAGTCGATGCCTGTGAAACCAGGTCCTAGTATATGGGGTGCACTTGTGAATGCCTCTGCAATTCATGGAAATAGTGAGGTGCAAAATTTAGCATATAGATTTCTTATTCAGATGGAACCTGAGAACCCCTCAAATTATGTTTCCCTTTCAAATTTATATGCTTCTTCCCAGAGATGGGATGTTGTTGCTCGGGTGAGAACAATGATGAAAGACAAAGGGCTGAAGAAGTTTCCTGGTTGTAGTTGGATTAGCATTAATACTGAAACGCATAGCTTCTACGTTGCTGATAAGTCTCATCCTTGTTCTGTTGTGATTTATGAGATGCTAGATCAACTCATCTTAGCGATGAAGCGAGATGATTCTTGCATTGGCTTTGAAGATACTGTGAAGGTGTATGAATGATCGGTATTGATTAAGTTACTACAGTTAACAAGCAAGTAGGATAGATGATTTATGCCTTTTACATATTATAGATGGATCATGACGTAAACCTCTTTCAACTACTTTGCCAAGAAAGCTCATCTGAATATCCGGGCAATAATTGGTAATTGGTTAATTTCTGCTTTCCCAATTTACCTTTTGCAGATTATCCTTCTTCGCATCTTTACATCTCAGCTTGCAAATGTTTCACCAACAAATAATAAAGTCGAATAGATAATAATTGAAGCATTTAAAGATTATCTTAAAAGCATGATACAATGGCTCAAAAGTACAGGACATGCATATTGCTCTCATTTGGTGTCAGAATGGAAATTTCCTGTCTTGATAATGTGGTTATATATGTTCACCCAAAGCATGTGTTTCAGATGTCCAGCGACACGTGTTCGTTCTATGTGTCAACTCACTCAAGTGCCTAAATTTCTTAGTTTTTTTAATACTATTACTGATTATTTCTAAGTGAAGCTCCTAGTTGGGTCCTCTAAACTGCAAGGAAGAAAATGAGTATGAAAAAGGCTCAGATAATTACCCTACATCTTACTTACTAGAGCAGTAGCCTGGAGCAAAGCAGATAATTCGTTTTATGGTCTAATAACTCTTAAGTTGTGTTCCATCACTACATTGTTTGGGGCGCTGAGGTGGCAAGTCATGTGGCATCCACCTCATCAACTGTCAATGCCACATAGGATTGGATGTCCACTTTGGACAAACTTAACGGAAAAGGGGTATATTTGAACCAATATTATAGTGACAGGGGTATATTTGGACTCAAAGTATAACGAGGGGTACATTTAAACATTTTCTGACATTACAGGGGTATATTTGGCCCTTTTCCGTTAAATTTTTATGTTTCCTGTCCATTGTCTGCTATATGTAGACACCTATCAGAGTTTCTATTGTGCTCTTACTGAATTAATAGATTTTTATGAGAGCTTAGGAAGAGCAGGGCGATAATTGTTTCATTAGGTGTTGAGCGCAACTTCTGATGGACATATGCAATGTCACAGAATATTTTAGAATGTGAAAGCTTGTAGCCCGAATTATTTTGTTCCAAGATCTGATCAATTCAATAATCTATTGTCACAACAACAATTGTATTCAAGTATATGTATGAGCTTATTCCCACTATAAATTATGTTCTTAGTCCCCCTTCCTTTATTTTTTCTCCCTGGAAGAATCAGTGTGTGTCAGGTCTATTTGCCAAGTGAGTTAAGCAGGATATTGTAATATTTGTCATAGCTTCTTATCATGAGTTCAACATAGAAGGATTGATGTTCTGGTTGGTGTTTTCTGCAGTTAAAATGACCAATCAGGAGCCTTTTTGATGCATCTCTCCCTCCAACTAGGCTGTATATATTTCTGCCTACTATCTTGAAGAGTTGATGGATGTAAAAACTGAAGTAGCGCTGAACTAGTAACAACACCCTTTCTGACCAAAGCATCGTCATAACAACATCGGAAGGTGACTTTTTTATCAGGACATCAAGGAAATGGTACCATATGAACCTATGGCAATGCAGCCTAGCATGGTCTGCAGGGTGGGACCGGGAAAGCTGCAGCACAGAGAAAGATTGTGCTCAGCGGATTGAAATGCCTGGGGTACTTGAGAAAATTGAAAACCTGACGACTAATTGGAGTCATAATGTACAGTGCAAGGCTTTTGATTTTTTGGTGAAATTCGAGAAGTATGCTAATTCAGTACATGGCTATTGAGCACTTGGGGAAATTCCGGGAGGAATGTGCTGATTCTTAATATGATGGACAAGTAGCTAAAGGCCCTACTTGTCCTCAACAAGTATTGATTTTTTTAACGGAAAAGGGTCATTGTTACCCCATCTACTATGCAAAAAGGATTAAATATACCCTTTGTTATACTATTGGTACAAAAATAGCCTTGCCGTTATACAAGTGGCTCAAATATAGCCCTCCTTTGTTAGGACTGTCCAAAGTGGAGAACCAATTTGATGTAGCTCTGATATTTGATAAGGTGGATGCCACATGGCATGCCACCTCACCACCCAACCAATTTTACCCCTCCCATCCACTTCTTCTTCCCCACAAGCACCTCCCTCCGCTCAACCATCACTACCACCATGGTGACGGTGGAGGTGGTAAAATGCTGGTTCATTTTGATTTGTTTCCACCGCCACCTCCAAATCAAAGGTGGAAGTCCCTATGGTGCTGGAACTTTTGCTGGTGATGGCTCTAGACAGCCTACAGAGCTTGAATTGGAGCAAGAACTTCATCAGGGGAAATACATTGCTACCATCACTAAGAAGTTCAAAGCCTCTGCCTAAATATAATCTCTGTTACTACAGTTCACCATTTGCATTCCATATATTTTTCTTTTCTTTCTCATTAGAGCACATGTTTCTGTTTAATATTGCATTGGTACTGAACTCTGTGGAATTTCCTGTTTTATAGCCTCTTGTCAGTGTCTGTTACAGGTCGATTTTACATGCTTAAGAATCTTGATGTTTTCTTTTTGTGCCTCAAATCATTGGATGTTACACCTCATATAAAGCAAAAAAAACACATAAATTATCTGAAGTTCCAATTTTTCCGTTAATGTAAGTTGTAATCACATATAAATTAGACGTTTTGGGTTTTCTCAAATTTGGTTTAATGGGAGAGCTCTGTTCAATATTTTGATTCATCATTCATGGGTCTTGAAAATTTTGTTGAAGACATGGTGGTGAAATTAGTTAACTTGATGTCCTCGTTTGTTTTTCCGTTACTGATTGGACGAGAAATTAAAGATTAATATTGTTCAGTCAAATAATACAACGACCAAAACTGAAATAATAAGCAAATGACGCAGGACCAAAACTACGAGGAAATTGGCCTTACATCAACAGACTGATCAAATCTACATTGCCACCATGGTGAAGATGGTGCTCATGGTGGTATTGATGATGCTAGTGGGGGAGAAGAAATGGAGGGAAGGGGTTGGGGCGGTGAGGTGGCATGCCACATGGCTTCCACTTCACATATTAGGTCTCCACCTTGGACAGTCTAAACGAAGGAAGGGTATAATTTGAATCATTCATGTAACGACAAGGGTTTTTTTGTACTGATAGTATAATGGAGGATAAATTTAACCCTTTTTGCATAGTAAAGGGGCATATATGCAGAGGCGAAGCTAAGATTTGAACCTTATGGATTCAAGATTAAAATTATAAGTTATTGGGGTCTAAATTAATAATTTGTACACATTCATTGGATTTTTTAATACAAATACAAAGTTTGAACAAAAGCTACTGGGTACGACCGAATCTGCAATCAGCACGGTGGATCCGCCCCTGCATATATGACCTTTCTCCCTTTTTTTAATTATTATTATTAATAATATTTTTTTGTGGGGGGAGGGGGTATGTATGTCACACTTTACAAGTATGCATCAAAATCATTCACTTTTGTATACTTAATGTCTTTTAACTGAATTCTGGAAGCACTGTGCGTAATGACAGTTCTTTCACTTCCTGCACCTTACTTTTCAAGGAACCAGTTTTGCTTCAACTTGATTTTTTAACAAGGTTTTACCGTTTGTTCTATCATATATGACAGCCTTGCAGCAAAGTCCTGAATGTTCACATGGTTAAATTTTTTTCAAAAAATGCTTCACACGGAGTACCCTCTTTGCCCGAAGACACGAAGGATTTTCGTGCAAAGACACATAACCCACAATTAAACTCTTTCGAAAGTGAGATACTAACTTTCATAAGAGGGAAAGATCACTCCGTCTTGCAACAATGTTCATCTAACTACAAATTTAATAAGAGAAAAAGAATTCTAGTGTAAGGTTGATATAAAAGTTTATTCAGTTAAAATAATGTAATGAAAAAGCAACATGAGACCGATAATTTGTTTTATGGACAATTATATTATTTCCCCTCTGAAGTCCTCCGGACATGAATTTGGTTAAGAATCTACAGTCATTCGCGGTAGGTTGAGATACTTCAGTGTCTTGGCTACTTCACCTTACAAAGACAGTTTAAACCCTGGCTTGGCTCCTAAACCTAAAAGAAGGTAAAAAAGGAAGACCAAAACAGGAAAAACTACAACTTTCTCTTTTCAATGAACAAAGCCAAAAACTTGTTTGCACTTGTAAAAAAGAAGGCCAAAAAGTTGTTTGCAAGAACTTATTTACAATTTTACAACATACACAATGATGGGAACACAAGCCATACATTGTACCTACTCGAAGCACAAACATCTAAAGAACAATTAACAATGAAAGCCGGATATAACACTACTTACTTTCGGATCAACTTCAGAAAAAGACCTGAAAATGCAACGAAGAGACATAGCAACTGCAAAGTCATGATACGAATGAGTCGTTTCTTCATCAATCTAACATCTTCTAGCATAGCTGTCAATCGATCATTGATATCTCGCATCACATTCAAATCAATTGGTTCAGCATCTCTTGCCATATATGCTTCGAGTTCAGGCATGTAGCGTTCAATTACAATCCGCGGCTTGCCATTTGGACGGTAATTAATCCTAGTTGGAAATTCCTCTGTCGTCTGCAATGATCCTTGAGATGCCATTCTAACATCATATGAATAATTAATTTATGAGCAAATGCTGAAAAAATTACTTCAAGCCCAAAGGAGAGAGAAAACAAGTGCAGATTTTGCTTTTCCCGTTGACATTTGACCTTGATTTTTTTCCACAAGGAAGTATTATCTTTTCCAAATACATTTTTATGCTTCAAACTCTACCATCGCATTTTTTTTTAATTCCCTTCATAGTTCACCTATCCAAACAGGAGGAACAACTCATGCATTTCTCTTTCCAACTTACCCGAGCCGAGGGTATCTCGAAAACAACCTCACTACCTACACAAAGTAGGGATAAGGTCTGCGTACACACTACCCTCCCCAGACCCCACTTGTGAGAATGTATGTTGCTCGGATTCTCCGAAAATGTTGCCGGTGTGTGTCCGATCCTCCAAAAATAGCGTATTTTAGGATGATCCGACACGGGTGTGGCATCATTTTGGAGAGTCCGCGCAACATAGGTGAGAATATACTGAGTATGTTGTTGTACTAAACATTGGTGAAGTTCTCTTTTTCATTTGAACTTGTGAGTTCTTTGACATTGATCCTCAAAAGTTGAATTTTTTGAGGATCGCCATTTTTCTATCATATGTAGAGAAAAAAATGAAGCAGCTCCAAGATCTGACTGGTTGCCTTACGGGGTTGTCTGATTCAGCATTAGTTATGGAGGGATTATAAAGCAGAGATTTTTTATTAAAAAAAAAGAATAATTGCGGAGTAAAATAATATAGGGATTATTATACAGTGAGTAATAATTGACTGTACGGAATAAGACCAGGTGCCTTTCATTTATCAAGACTAGATAAACCAAAGTCGTCTATGATTAGGATTCTTATGTAAGGATTCCCTACATAAGTGCATTATTGTCTTTAGATGTTCTTATTAATATACTGCTACATATATTCTTATTCAACATTCTATCTCGCACAAAACAGTACATAAATTCTCTGTAACTTATTCAGGTATTAGCAATACTGAGTTAAATACTTAAACAGAACAAACCAAACGTTGTATTTAAGTGGAGTTAACACTTGCCAATCAGATGATGCAATAGTCCCCCCCCNAAACAATATTTTTAAAAAAATAATCACAACATCTGGCCAAGTTCTACGGTCAAAGTAAACTGTAAGAGGGGATTTCGGATGAGATACAGAAAAGTACCCATTAAAATGCTGAACATTTGGCATTCCCTTTATGTTTTCAAGATTTCAAAATTCATCAGAAACATAAAAGCAAGAATTTTTAAAAATAAAAAATAAAGGTGGGTATCGAAGCTTACTGAGAATCAGAAGAGTGGGAGTAGAGCGGCAGCGGTTTAGGAATTCAGAAAGATTCGTCGCGAAAAGAAAAGCCAAACAAGAAGATTCTGTGTTCCAACACCTGGGAGTGAGAAGCTATGATGACTTTATTGGGCTGAACCGTGGGCTTTTATGTATGGAACAATATTGGAAAAATAGCACGGGCTAGCCACTTTTCGGACCGATAATTAAAAAATAACCAGTATTTATAAAGCCATTAAAAAATAGTCATTATTTTATGCGGAGATAAGATCTGGACAAAAATAATTTAGCTGAAACACGAAAAGTTACAGCATAAGCATAATATGCTGGATTATGGAGCTCCTGCGTATAATTTTCACCATATTATGTTGGAATTCCAGCACATTATGAAATTCTAACACATTATGTTGGAATCTCATATGTAAAAAATTCGAACTCCAGCATATTATATTGGTATGTACCGGATTTTTAAGGGTGATTTTCTTCAAATTTTATTTTTACTTGAAAAAGTTGCTAAATTTTGATTACTTTTGAAACTATGACTATTTTTCAATACCAATTGCAAATAATGATGTTTCTGAATTTTTTTTCCCCAATTTTTTTTTCGTTGGTTTGGTAGCCCAAAGCAAAAGAAAATTAGAACTTATATATTTGGTCGCCGGATCAAAAGTATTTATAATTTTAGCCAATATACATTTATCATACACTATATACCACCAAATATAGCTCTAAATCCTTTTTTTTATTACAACGTAGCTATATTTTCTTCTCTTTGCTATTTCTCTTCGATCTTTTCTGCCCGCGTGAACTGAGAATAATATGTAATACTTGAATGAGAAATTAATAAATTCGAGTTTTATTGGCGAAATCAGTTGTGTTACAACTCAGTAGTACAATCAAACTAATACTCCAAGCTTGAAACTCGAACTTCAATGGAGGTTACCTGAGAAATGAAGGATTGAGTGAGAGAGAGAAAAGAAGAGAGAAGAGAAGAGAGAAACGAAGGAAAGAGGAGGGAAATGAATTACCAGATAATCGCATGCCTCCTTCTGTCCAGTTTTTAGGAATATAAAGCCCAATTGACACAGCCCACTACTAACTAATTTTGTTACAACCCACTAACTAAGGGGAAAGTGCACGGTTAGCCACTAATAAAACATGTATTTACTTTTAAGCCACTATTTAAAATGTCTTTAGTCTTTAGCCACTACTTTAATAAATTTTAACTTCCCGGACGAAAATACCCTTCTTTTTATGTCCTTAACTTTTGAACTTAACTTCAGGACTTCAGGACTACATGTCCTTAACTTTTGAACTTGTAACTATAAGTTGAGGACCAAGTGTCCTTAACTTTTGAGCTTGTTAATCTAAGTTCAGGACTTATTGCCCTTAACTTTTGGGCTTCTTAGCCTAAGTTCACGACCTATTGTCCTTAACTTTTGAGCATGTTAGTCTAAGTTCAAGACTTCAAGACCTATTGTCCTTAACTTTTGAACTTGTAACTGTAAGTTCAGGACCTATTGTCCTTAACTTTTGAGCTTGTTAGTCTAAGTTCATGACTCCAGGACCTATTGTCCTTAACTTTTGAACTTGTACGTCTAAGTTCAGGACCTATTGTCCTTAACTTTTGAGCTTGTTAATCTAAGTTCAGGAGCAAGTGTTCTTAACTTTTGAGCTTGTTAGTCTAAGTTCAGGACCTATTGTCCTTAACTTTTAAGCTTGTTAGTCTAAGTTCAGGACATATTGTCCTTAACTTTTGGACTTTTTAGCCTAAGTTCAGGACCTAGGTATTAGGATCAATGTGAAAAAATAGAGGGCCCAATAAACTAATCATTTACTAAATATTATCTACACTTCAATAGGTCATGGATTGATAGCCAAAAAAAAAAAGAATTAATTGTAACTTTTTAAGGTACCAAGGATAATAATGTTCTAATTTGTTCCCATTCAATAGCCAAACAAGACATATTCCTCTCTCGTAGTCTCTTCTGTTCCATAGCACCAAGACTCAGAAATTGGGTGTCATGTGAAAACTGCCATTTTCAAGGACTATCTCCTGGTTTCTGGTATTCCGACCGGCGAATTAGCCATTTTCTGGCGAACCCATTATGGAGAAAGAGTCTCACAAACGCGCTTCTTCTCTCTAATAGAAGAAAGGGTAACACAGTCTTTTCATATTAATTTTAATAGACTAGTCGCTACTATTGCTAAGCATTGAAAATGTTGGACAAAAAATAAATACCACTATAAAAAGTGACTACCCCATACAATTTTTACACTAACTAACTAACAACCCAATATCCCTCCTTGTAAGAACTAATCTAGGTCCTTCATTTTGTAAGCTAACTTCTAATCTCAACCATTCGATTCATGCAGCTAACACCACACGTGTAAAATCTAAAGGTCTCATAGTCTGCCACGTCACTCTTCGCATTTTTATCTTTTAAACATTTCTTCAGCTCACTTTCCAAATCTGAACCCTAATTTTACTCTTTTCCCAATTAAGAGAGAGTCTCTTTCAGACATAACACTACCCCCCTTGTCCAAATCGGCCTTGTGCTCAAGGCCAGAGTTGAGCTACAAAATCAGGAAACTGGCCTTTGATGTACCCCCAGTCTTCCCAAGTCGCTTTATCAGCTCCCAGGTTCGACCACTAAACAAGAACCTTGACTGTTGTCGCATTATTCACCTTGACGATTCGATGTTGGAGAATGGCCACCGGTTGAACCATCAAGCGGCCATATTGTCCACAACTAGGAGGTTGGAGCTGAGCCACCACATCAAGTCCTATGAGTTTCTTGAGCTGGGACACGTGAAACGTTGGGTGGATCTAAGAGTCTGTTGGAAGCTCTAAGCGATAAGCCGTTGTGCCAATCTTTTGTATGATTTTATAGGGACCATAGCATTTTGCACTGAGTTTCAAAATTTTTCTGATTGCTACTGAAGCTTGCATGTAAGGTTGTAGCTTTAAGTAAACCCAATCTCCCTCATTAAAATTTCTGTCAGTCCGATTTTTGTCTGCAAAGAACTTCATTCGAGCTTGGGCTATTTGTAGATTTTCCTTCAAATGTTGTAACATAGTTTGCCTCTGAGCAAGTGTAGCCCCTACAGTAGTGTGAGCGGAGTGTGGAAGGGAGCCCATGGGAATCTGAGGAGGTGGGTAACCATAAACAGCCTCAAATGGGGTGGTTTTAAGGGCTGTGTGGTAGTTAGTATTGTATCATCACTCAGCTAATGGGAGCCACTTGAGCTAGTATTTAGGATTGTAAAAACTCATGGCCCTGAGGTAGGACTTTAGGCACCTATTAAGCCTCTCCGTTTGACCATCGGACTATGGATGATAGGCAGTAGACATGTTAAGTCTGGTTCCCATGGATTTAAACATCTGCTGCCAAAATTGACTAGTAAATAGGGGATCCCTATCAGTTCTATGGATTTGGGCAGCCCATGTAACTTGTACACCTCTTTTAAGAAATCATCTACAACTTCCTTAGCTGTATAAGGGTGTTTGAGAGGAATAAAATGCCCATATTTAGTAAGTCTGTCCACCACCACCAAAATAGAATTTTTGTGCTCAGAATAAGGCAGGCCTTCAGTGAAATCCATGGCTATATCTTGCCATGGTCCTTCAGGAATGGGTAAGGGTTGTAGTAGGCCTGGATAGTGCACATGTTCAGTCTTTACCCTTTGGCATACATCACACTCAGCAACCCGTTTCTGAATGTCTTCCTTCATCTTTGGCCAATAGAATCCCATCTGAACTCTCCTGTTTGTACCATGCTACCCAGAATGACCCCCCAAGGGTGATTGATGGAACACTTCAAAGATTTTAGCCCTGAGATCAGTATTTCTTCCCACCCAAATTTTCTGTTTAAACCTGATGATTCCCTACTATAAGGAGAAATCTGGTTTGTTGAGGGGATTGGTGATCAACTCAGTTATCAACTGTAAGGTCATAGGATCATGTTCATAACTTTGTACAATCTCCTCCATCCAAGTTGGATTGGTAGTAGTAATGGTGTGAGCACGTGATTTTTGCCCTACGAGAACTACTCCCAAAAATTCAAAATAAAATAGTTTTGTGTTGTTGGTGATTTATTTGTAATTGCCTGTGCAAGTTTGTTTTTACTTTAATTAAGAAAAAATATAAAATATGTGTTGCATATGTAGTTAGGGTTCAATTTCACAATTAGGAATTGATTAAACAATATTTGTTTTACGAAAAATGAAAAAATCGAAAAATAACGTACTTCGCATTTTAAGTGTTTAATGTCAAAGTGGGTGATTATGTTTGTATTTAATCTTATGTGATAATTGTTATTAAGGGTTAATTAGTATTTTTGAGTTAATTTTGGCTTTACAATTTATTTGACAAATTTTTGGTGATTAGGAATTAAAAAGGAAATAGAAGAAAAAGAAGAAACAAGAGAAGAAAATCGGACTGGGCCAATTTTAAAAGAAAGTTCAGGCCCAGTCCAAATGCCCTTTTACCCGGTCCAATCCAACCAGTCTTGGAGACGGGTAGAACGACGTCGTTCGGGCATGAAGAATCTGGGCCGTTGATCTCACTTGATCGAATGGTCCAGTCCATCTCCAGATATATCCAAACGACGTCGTATATAGCCAATAGATCCAGGCCATTCATTTCATTTGATCCAAC